GGAAGGAAACATTCTGGTGTTGTTTCTAGCTTAATCTTTATTGCCCTGCTTACAGAAACTGCCTCTCCAGTTAACCCTGATTACATTTTAACAGCTAAGAGAAAGTGCCCATCTACCTGAGCAATGTTCACTTGGCCACGCCCACATGGTCACATGACCACTACGCCCCGTTTACCCACCTGGTCATTAGGACAGAGAACTGGTTGTTAAATTATTTGAATCCCACCACTGGTGTGTGTGCGTGTGTGTGTGTGTGTGTGACAGAGAGAGAGAGAGAGAGGGAGGGAGGGAGGGAGAGAGAGGGAGAGAAAGAGAGAGAGTTGTTCTGGATTACAACTCTAGCTGAGAATGAGGAAAATACAGCACAATGCAGAAATAAGTCTCAAATTGGAATTAAATAAATAGTAAATACAAAGAGAAAAGTTAGGCTCTATTTGACAAAATGGTTTGGCCGATCCATGAAAAGAAACGTCTGGTCCACATCTACCTCCAATGTGAGTTGCAGAATCAGCCATCCCTTTCAGATATGCTGCTGAGTCACTCTCCTCCTGTGGAGTCAGCATGGTTCGGAGAGGTGAGGCAGTCATTGGGGCAGCAGAGAAGAAAATACTGCTGGAAGGGCCCAGGGCGAGACCTGCAATGGAGAGAAAGTCTCTGCGATTGTTTTTCTTAGATGCCTGATAAGGGGAGCTCTGAATGGTGTTCGGCAGGTTCAGATTTAATGACTGTGAGCAATCTATCAAGGGGGTTTTTATATCTGAAAACCCGGCTAGCTAAGCTAGCCTATGTTTTATATAAATAAACATATCTCGGATAGAGTGTTAAAGATGTCCTTTTAACAATGTGCAAGCAAGGCTATCTCAGGGTTATGGGTGGTTTATTTTTCCAATTTTCGGTCCATCCTAATGTAATCAGGCCATTTAGGAAACCATTACTAGATCGCACTTCGGTGAAGGAAAAAAAATGTTCTGTTATGTATGGAAAAGACCCTCCAAGGGAATATTTGACCAATCTGATCTGCTGAACCTTTAAAGTAGGCAGTTTGGATTAGGAGTAGGGAGACCCAGGTTCAAATTCACCCTCAACTATGGAAATCTATTGACTCGTTCTCAACCCACCCCACCCCATCGGAATATGGTTGGAGAGACAAAATGAAATGAGATCCCCGTAGAAGCCACTTTATGCTCTTGAAGAAAGTACAATATACCTCCTCAGCATTATCATCATCATGAGCAACCATTGCATTCAGTGCTTTTATTAATGGTTGAACATGCCTTCAGGGACTTTGTGCCTAATGTTATTACAGACAGTAACCCACACAAGTAATGAATTAAGTTTGCAGTCTGATCCTCATATTACATTAACTGCGGCACAGTATAGACTACAGAGTTCCCTCATTAATGGTTTTGAAAGGCTGAGTCCTCTTCAGGCTGTCTTTGACTCATCTCTAGCCCACTGCAGAGGCAGCTCAGTGTCATCTGTACTTGTTCTATTGTTAGCAGATCTTCCCTCTTCTCCCATGATCTGTCACTGTATAGTATTGGTGGTGCTGGTCCTATGGTCAATGGCTAGGCTCTACTGACTCCCATTGGCCATTTGAGATTCTTGCAGGCAACTTTCTTACCTACTAACCTCACACCTTCATTACTAGTCATTTTCTTCCATGGTTCACATAATAGCAATAGCACTTAGACTTATACTGCTTCAGGAATGAGTTCCGGATTCTTTTACTGTCGGTTCGCGCATGCATGCAAAGTAGTGAAAAAAATGTTTCTGAGCATGCGCAAAAGCAAAAAAACAAGATGGTGGCGCCCACGGCACTGCCAATAGAACCAGTTCAGAAGCATGGGCGGCTGAGTTACTACCTACTTGGCCGAACCGGTCTGAACCGGTAGGAACCCACCTCTGTACTGCTTCATAGTGCTTTACAGCCCTCTCTAAGCAGTTTACAGAGTCAGCATATTGCTGGGTCCTTATTTTACCAACCTCGGAAGGATGGAAGGCTTAGTCAACCTTGAGCCAGTGAGAATTGAACTGCTAGCAGTTGGCAGAGTTAGCCTGCAATACTGTGCCCTAACCACTGTGCCACCATGGCTGATAATGTCTGATTAACACATTCTATAGTGCTAACTAGATTTTGTTCTGAAGTGCTTGTTCGAATACATTATGTTCTCCACTATTTCAGCTAAAAAGGCCTTCAATGTAGCCTTTGAAGGGTTAGTTAGTTAGTTAGTAATAAGGATACAAACTTGTTGATTAGTAGAAATATTTTTTCTGTAACACACATACTGTATATTATGCCTTGCATTTGTAAAATATGGGCTTCCATCCTGTAAGTGCCTTTTGTTCCTTGCAACTGACTTCCTGTGGTACTGTTATTAGGGCCTGTAGAATAACTGGCAAATGTCAAATCCTTGCCATTTGAATTCTTATCAATCTGCAGTCTATGGGCATAGAACTTATCCTGGAATTTAGTTGTAAAGAGCTGTAAAACTGACACCTTTAATATGTCCCCCTTCTGCCTGAGAAGTATCTCACCTTTGATCTGTGCCCTTCACAACAAGGGGCCAAATGGCCAATCCTGGGAAGAGAGGAAAGAGATAATGCTGGTAAGGCTGGTGAGGAGTATTGTAAAGCCAGGATGTTATTCTATGATGTCTCTAATTGTATAAAAAGGAGCTACACCTTCTCTGAAGGATAGTTCTTCCCTGCATATCCTTGGGGTATCTTGGGAACAACTGACCATTATGTCTTTAAGCTTTGATCAAAGATTAAACGCTGATTGTTATTTAAGTCTCATGTTTGGCTCATTGTGACTTGGATGTTTTCTCAAACTTCTATGGGTCTCAACGTATTCTCAAACCTTACATTACACCTTGTTATTTTGAGGTAGGTGCACTTTGCCTGCCCCTACATGTTTTCCCCTACTTCAAACAAGCTATGTCCAGGTGCTACAGGCCATGGCCATTTGCTAACAGGACTGCCATTCAATTCACTGTTTTCTGTTTGGGCTAACTTGGAACTGGAGTGAAACTGTAAAGAGTTCTGTTTCCTCTTTTAGTCCAAGCAATAGGTCATATGAGCAGGGGGAATGGGGGGAAAGGACGGATATTCCTCACAATCCCTTCACTGTATCAATGGTCTGGCTATTTCTGAACATGGGATGGTTCTGCTGCACTTCTGGAAGAGTACTAAACTTGTGTCCAAAACAACCTGGCTGATAGGCTGGTGAAATGGGTGAGGAATGGGATGAAGTGAGAAGAAGATCATTCCAACGTACTACAAAAACTTCATCCTGATTCACCCTACACCTTCTTCCATTTCACTGTTCTATTAGCTGAGTGTTTTTGGACATGGGTTTAATGTTCCTCCAGGAAAGCATTAATCCCCAGTTCAGAAATAGTCCAAATGACAGGTCTCCAGTACAGGCAATCTCTTGGGTGGTATCCTATCAACCTGTTCAAAGAAGGACAAGGCAAAATTTTGATGGCTTGTGATCTGGGTGTGCCGATCTGGAAGATGCATTTAGTCTTGCTGGCAGAATCTTCCCTACCATGTTGTATAGGGCTATCAGACTGAGCTGCAAAAATCTCACTTAACCACCACATAGCAACATAGAGTTTAAATACTTATATTGTGTCTCTTTCCTGCCAGTTAGCAATGGTCTGGATTTTTGCATTCCAGAGGTGGTAGCTCTATCATAGTAGATCATCATTATGGATGCAATTGTTTTATCATCCTGGCTTTGCAAAATAAGATGTTTGGCACCCAATCCTCCATGCAGGACCCATTGTCTATGCCTGACAATTATATCGCATATAATTTCCATGTAACAAAAACATAGCCATAGCAGCTAAGCTGTGAGTCATGGCAGAACTACATTTTCAGAAACAACAGTTGCTAGGATTTCTATTCTTAACCCAATCTGGTGCAAGGAAGGGTCTTTTCATGCTGATCATCAAGAGGGCAAGCTACTCAAATTGACATTATAGGATTTTGATCATTGTCCCCCTACTTCTATTCAGTGTTCACCTAGGATCCCCAGTGCTTTTCCCAATTTCAGCCTCGTGTCTTCGCAGTTGCTTCATCCTTTCAAAGTCTTCATGAGTCTCCCAAGCACAAAATTTCCAGGTTTTACAGCGCATGATCTTGTATGTTTACATAGTAATATTGCTCTTGTTTTCTCATGGTTTACCAAGCATATTAAGATATGCTTTGAAACCTTAATAAGTAGATAACCCACAGGTTCACTTTTGGCACATATTTTTCAAGTGTGACAGGCTTAGCTCCCAGAAAACTGCAGGTGGTGAGAATTTTTAAGGGAATCATCAACCATTTTCATTTGGCACCAGGTAAAGGAAGTCTACTTTAACTATATCTTGCTTGTTTTTCTTTTTCTCACAACTATTTTTATTCCTTGTTGGAATCAACACCTCTTCCTCAAACAGATGAGATAGTAACAGCTAATCACAGTGAAAGAAACTACCGTTTAATGCAACTTTCGATAGCTCAACACTTTGTAGCTAACATTTTATTTGGGCTGGCCTATTCATTAAAAGTATATCAAGAGGACAGGCAACAAGTAAGTAACATGATTCACCTGCATTTAAGTTTCAGTAAATAACCTCTGGAATCACATTGCAGAAAGGAGAGCAGTCTTTCAGAAATCTTTATATTTGAACCATGGTGGCGCAGTGTTAGAGTGCAGTACTGTAGGCTACTTCTGCTGACTGCCGGCTGACTGCAATTTGGCAGTTCAAAACTCTCCAGGCTCAAGGTTTACTCAGCCGAGGTGGGTAAAATGAGGACCCAGATTGTTGGGGCCAATAGGCTGACTCTGTAAAACTGCTTAGAGAGGGCTGTAAGAGCACTATGAAGCAGTATATAAGTCTAAGTGCAATTGCTATTTCTGAATTGAGGAGAGGTGAAGTAAAATTGCCATGTCCCATCACACCCAGAGCCCCCACATTACTTCCTCCTTACTGGCTGCTTCAAGGATCTTCCATTTTCTCATTAAGCACTTGAACCTGTTTGGGTGTTTGGGGATTTCATGTCATCTTCAATCATCATGTTTATATTACTCTCTCTTCCTTCTTTTCTTTTCTTTTTTAAAAACACAACCTAAAAAAAAAAGAGCTGCTTCAGAACAGGTTGCTCACTCATAGTAGTGGCTGCATGCTTTTCTCTCACTGCCCTTGATGACATCCAGAACTCTTCCTTGCCTTGTTGAGAGATCCCATGTTTCAGGAATTGGCATCAGCCCAGCTAGAGCCCTGTCTGCTGCTTTCAGGGGAGGAAAGGAAGAGCCCTAGATCCTTCCCAGAGAAAAGGCCGCCCTTTCTGGTCTTCTTCTTGAGACATAAACAAACCTCTTGGGCCCTCTGAGAAATACTCAGTCTTGTGGGCTCCCAATAGACACAAAGTTTTCTCACCTCAGAATCTTCTTTTTCCTTCTAGGACGATTTTTTTGCATTTGCAATTCAACAATCAGACTGCAGGCATTTGTTTCTACCTCCTACTCGCTATGTGTTTACTAAATCAGGACAGCTGCCAGAATGGTTTCAATTTTATCTTGTCAAATAATAAAAGCTAGAAAATTACCTTTTTAGCCGAAAACGGAATTCTTCTTAGGCTGTGCCAGATTGTGTGATTTGCCAGCTTCGAGTCTAGATTATTATGCTTATTAATCTGCTTTCCTGCCCAGTGTTCTTTCAGATGTGCTAGATTACAACTCTCATGGCAGTTTGTTGGAAATTCTTGTCACCCAAAACATCTGGAAGGTATCAAATGGAGGAAAGTTAAAACAGTTAATGTTATGGAAAAGCCTAAATTAATGGACCTGGGTCATGCCATTCTCAGGACTGCTATTCATCTTTTTTAGTTTTTTTAGTGGGTTTTCCCCCCCTCACCTCCTTACAATGTAAAGGGATCAGCTGTTGCAGGATAAAACTGAGATAATGTAGGTAGCAAGAGAAGAGGCCTGCCGTTTTTAAATAAAGCAACTGGCCTTAGTAAAGTTGCTCTTCTTTCCCTATATACTGTATTAGCATATCTTCATTCCCTTCATTCCCTCAGCTCACTCATCTGCCATCTCATAAATCAGAAAGTCTCTGCCAAGGAAATTGGCAGGAGAATGGCGAAAGTGTGAGCCAAGCAAATAATTATCCAGTTATTCCTATTTGTAAGTGGAAGGTAGTTGTATTGACAGCTATAGCTGGGCCTTTTCTTCACATGCAGAAAGTCCAAATCGACTTGCAAAGTGAATTGAGCAAATTGTGATCAACTAAGGTATTTTCTTTGGCACTCATCATTGTGCTTGGTCCAGGGGTAAAATCCTCCCGGTTCGGCCGAACCGGTAGGGATGATTGTCCTTGGTTCTGCAAACCAGTAGTAAAAAAAAAGCTTCCGAAGATTGTGTGGCTCAGCTGTGAGCTGTGCATCTTTGGAAGCTTTTTTCTGCTTTTTAAAGCATTTTTTCCTGCTGGTTCGCCCAAAGAGGCAGGAGGAAAATGCTTTAAAAAGCAGTGGGGGAGCTGCTGAGAGAGAGAGAGACAGAGAGACAGAGAGAAAGGGAGGGAGGGAGAGATAGAGACGGAGGGAGGGAAGGAAAAAGGAGAGGGAGGAAGGACAACAAACCAAGCACTAGACGCAGCTTCAGAGGATGCCTTGAAAGAGCACAGCAATCCAGAACTGGAAGGGACCTGGAGGTCATCTAGCCCATCCCCCTGTTCCAGCAGGACATTGTTAAAGTGAGTTTCTGTCTTTTGAACTCCCAGTCACATGACTACATAGCCATGCCCACCCAGTCACATGACCCCCCCCACCAAGCCACACCCATAGAACCTGTAGGGAAAAAAAAATTAGATTTCACCACTGGCTTGGTCCCACTGCTTTCTGAATTTAGACATGAGATCTCGTACAAATGTTCTTTTGTAAGCAGCAGCAGAAATGAAAACAGTTCAGAATATGGCTTCATAGTGTAGTCTCCACAGCTATTAAAGACAACAGTTGAAGCTAGGGTTATTTTCTGAATAGGTTAAGGAAGGTAGCAGCCTTGTTTGACTACAATCCTATATACCTTTGCAGTGTTCTGGAACACATTGGGAATTATTACTCACAGCTAAGTGTGAAGGGAAGTTGTGGCTGTCTTCAATTCTGCCAACGTGAAATGCTTACATACATGGTAATCAACCCAAAGATAAGAACAAAGGGGATTTTGCTGTGCTTTATGCTGTTCATGTGGGAAGATATTGATTGGTAGCTGAGAAGGGTGGTGGTGAGGCAGTGGTGAGTTTCAAAAATTTTTAGAACCTCTTTTGTAGGTGTGGCCTGCTTTGTGGGAGTGGCTTGCCGGCCATGTGACCAGGTGGGAGTGGCTTGCTGGCCATGTGACCGAGTAGGAGT